GCAGTTCGGGAACACGGCGTGACTTTGCGCGTGCGAGCAAGTGCGCAAAGGCCACCCCCTCCGGGAGCCACCGGCCACCGAGCTCGGGACCGAGGACAAGTAGGCGCCGGCTCAGGGTAAGCGTGGTGGCGCTTTCGGCGCCGGATCTGGCGCAGGGCTCGGCCGGGTTCACAGTCAGCCCCCGGCCGCGGAGCGCCGTCAGCTCGGACAGGGCTGACAAGGGTGTCCACAGCGACCTGCACACCGCCCCAGATGGGCTGGGCATTGGCCACAACCTCCAGGCGGCGGTCGTCTAGCACCGGCGCATCGAGGTTGAGGTCGCGCAGGAGCACGTTCTCGGCCACACGGGCGCCAGCCTCGCGGCAGATCCTGGCAGCGGTGCGCTCCAAGGGGACACTGCGGGGCCCTAACACGCCAGCGCGCGCTCACACCGCACGGTGGCCTCCCAAGGCACCCAGCGCGTCCCGCCAGGAGCACGCCCGCTCGCTGAAGGGAAGCAGCACGCGCAGGCTGCGCAAGGCCGCAACGAAAGTGAGGGTCCGGGACGTTGAACTCGCGGGCAGTGGGGAGGACAGTGACGAAGCACCCGGCATGGTCGCCTGCCTGGGAAAGGAGCAGCGCGCGAGAGGCAGGATCCAGGTCAGCAAGCAGACCTGCCTCGTAACCGCCAAAGTCTCTAGCCTGGCCGCGCGGGTCAAGCCGCAGCAGGCTGAAAGCCATCAGTCCGCAGCGCCTCAGCGGCCTCGGCCGCGGCACGCACTCTGTCCGCCCGCGGCGAAACTGCCAGGTTGCCGGCGACGACCAGACGCCGCTTTTGGATCATGGGCAGGGTGTCAGCCCAGTAGGCAGCAGACCTCCCTCGCTCGGCAGACCGCAAGCCCATCCCGCCCCCCGCCAAGGGCAGTTGGGCCCGTCGGCGCTGCAAGGCGTCGAGCTCGAGGGGCCTCCTCGGCGCTCAGGGGCGGCCCCAGGCAGTGCAGCGCCGCCGCATCATGCTCGCGAGCGAAGGCAAGGGGGGCAAGATGCGAAGGGGAGCTGCGCTTGAGCAAGTGAGCAATTCCGGGCCCAGGGGTTCATACGGCTGGGCCGGCCGCTGGGCAGCGCCAGTGCTAGTGAGTTGCTGCAAAGTGGCGGGGGTGCCTGGAGCAAGTGGGTCGGACGACAGGGCCTGCCGGGCGGCAGGCTTCGTCAGCCGGGTCACTGGCGGGCGCCGGCGGGGGCATGTGGGGGCTTGCGAGGGCCGCCCACTCGCCGCGAAAGAAAGCCGAAGACCGGGCTGCGAGCAGGCCTGTGAAGGAGCATGCGGAGCAAAAAAACACAAAGCTTCCCTGCGCGCTCCGCCTCGGCATTGTTGGGGGTGGCGCGCAACCGGGTGCCATCGAGAGCAACCAAAAGGGCCTGGCGCAAAGGGCCCCGCCGGAACTGCAGGGCAGAACGCCAGGTTGGGCAGGGCTGACTGGGAGGGTCAAAGAGTTGCAAAAGCTGCCCGCAGGCGAGCAACCTGAAGGGTGTGCCGGGTGGCTGTGGGTAGCGGCGTGTCAACATTGGCTGGGATCAAGTCGGGGGGGGTCAGGGGGTGCCTGCTGACCAGGGGCATCGCGATCCTGGGCTGCACGCTGGGCTACGGGGTCGCCGGGAGGGCCGGTGAGGGGGCGGCAGGGCTTCGTGCTGCAGTCGAGGCGAGTGCAGCCAACGGCTTGGCGTTCGCCTAGGTAGGCGAACAGGAGGGTTTCCTGGGCCGTGGCGGGGATGTAACTGCCAGGCTGGGCGCACTGTTCAACCGCCCAGGTAGGAGGCTAGCCCGGGCGCAGCTGGCTCGATAGGCGGGAAGGTGGCACCGTCTAGGGCGGCGACGGCCCTCTGACACTCAAGGATGCCAAATGATGCCGATGAAGACCCAGGGGGTGCACGCTGCAAGTCAGCCAGCGCTGCATGCCAGGCAGGGGCAAAGAAGGGATGAATCTCCCATGCTTGGGCCGCATCGCCGCGAAGCATGCCAGCTGCGGAAAGGAGCAAGGGCGCGTAAAACCAACTGCTCCCTCAAAACAAAGTGGAGGCCTCCGCCGGGCTAGGGGGTGCGCGAGACAACCACAGCGCGTTCCAAGCGGCCGGCAAGGGCGCGGCCTGGGCTGGCACACAAGATCTTACACTCGGAGAGCTGTCGACACCAGCCAGCGGCAGCAAAAAGGGCGCCAGGGAAGGGCTCCACAGAAAAAAGGGCGGATAGCCCTGAGAACAGACCCGCCCGCGCTCATGGAGCGGAACGCGCGCGCCATGCTCCGGACACACAGGGCTACCACACGTGCATGGGTTCTCTATGCTGCTCGAGAACAAATGCCACCCTGCATGGAGAGTCGTTTCACCCTACTTCACGGTCGGTTTGGTTGTTCCTTTTTGGTTGTTCTCGGGGTTTATTTTTTCTGGGGATTGCAAACGGACTGTGAAGGGCCAGGCGGCGCTGCCAAAGTGCCTGCTGCACATTGGCACGACGCATGCGACGCGGACAGGGCCTGCCTCACTTCCGGGCACCGGGGTGCGTCGGGCACGGCGGCTGAAAATGCAAGCTGTAGATAACGACGAGGAAGCGAGGAATGGGCATGCTCCGGCGAAAGCTGTCGGTCTGCACAGGATTCGGTTCCGCAAAGAACATAGTGCGCGCGAACACATAGCCGAAACACGCCGGTGAGAGGGCTAGGGCGTTGACCGAAAGAAGAGCTTCAGGGTGTTGGGATTCTTTCCACTTTTTGATTTGAGGGCACCGTTCTTGTTTCTTGGTTTGCCTCAAACGTAAGACTGATGTGTTCTGCAGTTTGCTTGGAATTGTATTGCTAGGACTTCCAGGCCTTTCTTTCTGTTTCAAAGTCCTTACCAATGAAACACAACACACGGGAAAGGGGCGGGTCGGGAGATATCACCTGGGCCCTCTTGTTCCCACCCCCGCTGAGCGACCAATTGCAGGAAATCGCCTACAGCCAATTCCTCCGGGCAAGTTGGAAGGGAGCAGGGGCGTGGCGCGTATTTGACGTGAGCACCGTGGAGATTTGAAGGGCTCGAGGCTGGCGAGCACGCAGACAGCCTGGAAGGCGCCACGGAAGGAGACGATTCAAGCGCTCAAGTGATTCCTGGCCAAAATTCGCCCACCGAAATTCGCTGAACTGGTGGCACTGGTGGCTGATTGTTGCCAGCGAGTTTGGATTTATGTGCAGCTTGCCGGCGCAGCTTCGCGAGTTTCTTTCGCAGTTTGCCGGCGCGGCTTCTGTTCCAACACGCTTCCAAGAATCGCCTTCTTCGCAATACCACATGTGCGGCATGTGTGGTCACTACCATTTTGCGAAGCACTCTTCGCGAAGCGTGAGCAATAATAGTCAAGACCTCTTTGAATCATACATCTATTTCGACCAGAAGATAACTCGCTTGATGTTGTTGATGTGTACAGCTGCACCTACACTCCTCTTTAGGAGTCTGGCCGACGCGTTGTCAGCGCTGTTTGGTGCTGGCTGGCCGACGCTTGCGGCCTTGCCTACATGCCAGCACGCCTACGAGCAAGGCATGCCAACTTGGTGCTACGGCCGCGGATCGTCGAGTACAGAAGCTCTTCTTACTTTGGTAAGGCAGGGAGTCGCTTGCAGTCGCTTGCACAACTCGGTATCCAGTCGCTTTGGGCGTCCGCTTCGGTGGCTGCTGCACATCCTGGTCTCGGCTTCTCAGAGTGTGCTGTGCAATCGATGCTCGACTCCTCGACGTAAGCCCCAATCGTTCCATCGTGCAAACATGTCACTGCGGTGAGCAACTTATCATGGTGGCTCTAGACAAACAATGTAACTAATTACTCTTTGCTAAGTCAGGATCAAAGTCACATTCGAAACGCGATTCACATTGGTCGTGTAGGTACGGAATTGCTTCAATGGATCAGCATCATTTTGCTGCCGGCAAGGCCTCCGTTCCTGAGAGACATGTATGGACCGTTGCGAGATAGCACAAGGGAATCGTTTGTGCCCGTGAACGTCTGGGATTCAAAATTAAACTTTACCAAATCCCGCATGACATGACAATCTGTGCGCGAATTGTTATGAAGCAGCCGCCGATAAATAGCTAGCGACAAATTGCAAATGGTGACAACAACTTGCACGCCTAATCTTGTTTCTTCTTCGTCGCTGCGCCGGTGTTCTAACAACGTATCATATGGTTTCTCCGGTACTGTGCCAGAGGCGCACTCCTCCTGCATGCGAGCCGCGCCAAATCGCGCCGAGTTGGCATTCTTCATGCGCAACAAAGTCAAGCACAACAAGTGTACGGTAGTCAACCACGACATGTAGAGGCAGCTGCAAGAGTTCTGAACGACCGCGCCTGCAAAGCAGCTGCACCCGCAAAACAGCTGGCGACTGCAAAGCCACATATATGTGCAAATGCGCGCGAACTGTCCTTGCGCCAGCGCCACGAAGCAATGACTTGCGCCAAGAGCTAAGGTGCAATTTGGGCCTGAATCAGCGGTCACCTTAGGGAACAACAAAAGCCACAAGCGTACTCTGCACCATCACGTTCCGCATCTTTGGCTGCGCTTAGCCCATGACTCGTCTGTCTGTTTGTGCGATGCCGATCCCGGATGCCGACAAAGCACGCATCCCGTGTCGTCAGCCGTCGCGGATTCATTCTGATTCCTTTTCGTGCTGGGCTGCCCTTGTTTGCGCCCTGCGCATCTGGCTCCAGCCAGATTTGTCTCGCGCTGAACTCATGCTCGCTGCAACAACCTTTTGTCCAACGGTATTTGCTGGTCTCTGTATGTACGAGTCCGTGGACTTGCACAGCATTGGGAAGCAAGCAAGACGCAAATCACATCAGGATCATACAGCAATGCTCACTGATTCATGGTACTGCGGGTGGACCAAATCCTGCACCAAAGAACCCCTGGCATGATGATTCCCTTGTAACTGCCAACAAACCTTATGGTTTCGCGTGGTTTCCAACTGGTGCGAAACGGATTTCGTCCACCTGTATGGTTGCCTTCTGTGCGATCCTAGTCTTAAACCTGGAAGATCCTAAGGCTCAGCTGCGTCAGGTGGGCTAGGCCTCACTGTGCCTGGTCCTGGCAGATGCGCGTAACGACCTGGCCTCCCCTTACAACGCAAACTCCAAGAAGACTGCTTAAACAATAGCTGTTCAACATGTTTGAACAAGGGGTTGTGGCGTGTTCAAGGAGCTCTGAATATTGGGCATTTGCTCAACTGGCTGAGCAACTGTGGCGTCTACGCACGTAAGTACTTGCAAGCGCCGATTGCCGGAACAAACATCACACACACACACACAACTTGTCAATTGCCCGTCGCCTTATCAAAAGGAAGTTGGATGAGGGAGCGCACTTGTCGACAAGCAACGCAAAGTTGTGGCTTCAACTATTGTGCATTTGCAGATTAGTATTGTATATGTACATGACGTTGACGCCTGGTCGCGTGTAAGTATTGCCACATGTTGCTTTTGGAGAAACTAGGCACGAGCAAGCCTTTGGTTTGAACAACGGCAAACGAGCCGTGCCGTGCAACTCTCTGCTTTTGCAATCCTGGTCCTGCTGCTGTTCACCTAGAGGGGAAGTGAGCATGGGCAAGCCTTCGCCTGCCTACGAAAGGAATCCCACACATTCCGGCAGGGGCGGCAAATGCACATTGGGAACCCGTGCGGGATGAGGAAGGGCAACCACATTTCTCTCCACTCTTGGGCGCAAATGTGGCTCTACGACATGTTTTTGGTTCGATGCAGAGACTCAGCAAATGGACAGCTGGCGGAGCTCAGTATGCAGATTCTGCACCACAACTGGGTGTTGTTTCCCAATCCAACAGTCGAATGACCCCTGTTGCCATCATCCCTGTGATCAAAGCACAAAGCAACGCAACCCTGGCGAGCGCCGGGCCACTGCCGCGCTGGCCTGGAGCGCGAGAACTCGGCGCGCCTTCGACCCCAAAGGGCTTCAATGGAATCCAAGGATCTTGTAAAATAAAACCCCCCCGGGCAAATTGGATATAACTGAGTCAGCAATCGGCAGAATTGATGGCCGCCCGCCGCCCGCTGCCCGGTCACACTGGATGCAATAGATCAACTGAGTCAGCAATCAGCATGACAGTCTTGCACAGCAGGATGGTCAAGCCAGTCCCGATGGCCAAGACGCTTCTCTGATTTCTCTGAGAGCGGACCTTTTTGATCCCTTGGTTTGAGTCCTAGCTCCCTCCCCTGGTCACCAAAAACGGATCGCGCCTCGGCTGTGCTGAGGCGGGCCCTCCTTGCACTCGGCCCTGAGCTGAATGTCACTCCGTGACTCGAGGTCGCACCCTAACTACGTGAAACACGTGGCCAGAAAAATGGATCTTCCACCCACACCCAAAAGTAGAATGCGCGTGGTAAAGGGATGTAAAACTGTGCCTTAATTGCAAAGCATTACAGTACTGTAATTGCGCCATTCCCTGATGATTGACAGTGAATTCTTGATAAGCGCCTGCTTCATTGACCGCTGGGCCAGGGAGGCTGATTCAAAAGCAAGAAACGAAACAACCAAACAGCGGCAACCAGCATCGAAGCACATCCAACTGCACCAAAACCCAAAAACATGATAGCCAACTTGGACAGCTCAGCAACAGCCACGATTCTGGGGAAGATCGCGGCGTGGCCAAGGAGATGCTGCTGAGATTCACTCATGTTTGCTGTTCTTTGTTTCCTTGGCTCCAAGTCCAAACAGGAAACCGGCCATTCCCCCACCTCCGCCCACCCAAAACTCAGGCCCCGGCCGGCGTACGCTGTGGAGCATAGCCTCCGTAGCCTCCGTAGCCTCCGTAGCCTCCGTAGCCTCCGTAGCCTCCGTAGCCTACGTAGCCTTCGTAGCCTTCGTAGCCTTCGTAGCCAGCGCCAGTGTCGTCGTAGCCAGAAGGCAATGCCTGGTGCAAATAACTGCCGCGGACAAGAACAAAGACGTGTGTGAACCTGATTGTCATGCTTCCAACCAAGGAATCAACATCAGTCGACAACAAATCAAACACCAAAACACATTCTGAGCTTATACATTACATTTCCTTTCAGTACATTGCATTACATCACATTACACTACATTACATTACATCTACATACATTACACTACATTGCATTGCACTGCACTACATTGCCTTTTTACATTACCTATATTACACACATTGCATGCAACACATGCATTACATACATTAGATACAGTCATACAAGCATACACACATTACGTTACACTACACTACATTACATTACATTACGTTACAGTACACTACAGTACGTAACGTTACATTACATACATTACATAACATAACATTACATTACATATCATAACATAACATACCATACCTTACCATAACATAACATAATGTAACGTTACATACATACATCCATACATACATACATACACATATGTACATACTTACATTACGTACATACATATACATACATAAAATAACATAACATAACATAACATAACATAACATAACATACATACATACATACATACAAACATACATCACATCACATGACATTACATTATATTGCATTACATTACCATACATTACATTACATACATACATAAAATACATACATACAATACATACATACATACATACATAAATACATACATACATACATACATACATACATTACATACATACATAGATACATTACATTACATACACATTACATACATACATACATACATACATACATTACATACATACATACATACATACATACATACATACATACATACATACATACATACATACATACCTTACATTACATTACATTACATACATTACATTACATTACATACATACATACATACATACATACATACATACTTACTACATTACATTACATACATACATACATACATACATAGATACATACATACATACATACATACATACATTACATTACATTACATTACATACATTACATACATACATACATACATACATACATACATACAAAATACATACAAACACATACATACATACATACATACATACATACATACATACATACATACATACATACATACATACATACATACATACATACATACATACATACATACATACATACAAACATACATACATACATACATACATACATACATACATACATACATACATACATACATACATACATACATACATACATACATACATACATACATTACATACATACATACATACATACATACATACATACATACATACATACATACATACATACATACATACATACATACATACATACATACATACATACATACATACATACATACATACATACATACATACATACATACATACATACATACATACATACATACATACATACATACATACATACAATACATACATACATTACATACATACATACATACATACATACATACATACATACATACATACATACATACATACATACATACATACATACATACATACATACATACATACATACATACATACATACATACATACATACATACATACATACATACATACATACATACATACATACATACATACATACATACATACATACATTACATACATACATACATACATACATACATACATACATACATACATACATACATACATACATACATACATACATACATACATACATACATTACATACATACATACATACATACATACATACATACATACATACATACATACATACATACATACATACATACCTACATAAATACATTACATTACATACATACATACATACATACATACATACATACATACATACATACATACATACATACATACATACATACATACATACATACATACATTACATTACATTAATTACATTACATACATACATACATACATACATACATACATACATACATACATACATACATACATACATACATACATACATACATACATACATACATACATACATACATACATACATACATACATACATACATACATACATACATACATACATACATACATACATACATACATACATTACATTACATACATACATACATACATACATACATACATACATACATACATACATACATTACATACATACATACATACATACATACATACATACATACATACATACATACATTACATTACATTACATTACATTACATTACATTACATTACATTACATTACATTACATTACATTACATTACATTACATTACATTACATAACATTACATTACATTACATTACATACATTACATTACATTACATTACATTACATTACATTACATTACATTACATACATACATACATACACACATACATATACATACATACATACATACATACATACATACATACATACATACATACATACATACATACATTACATACATACATACATACATACATACATACATACATACATACATACATTACATACATACATTACATTACATTACATTACATTACATTACATTACATTACATTACATTACATTACATTACATTACATACATTACATTACATTACATTACATAATACATTACATAATACATACATACATTACATTTTACATACATTACATTACAAGCATACATACATACATACATACATACATACATACATACATACATACATACATACATACATTACATACATACATACACATACATACATACATACATACATACATACATACATACATACATACATACATACATACATTACATTACATACATACATACATACATACATACATACATACATACATACATTACATACATACATACATACATACATACATACATACATTACATACATACATACATACATACATACATACATTACATACATACATACATACATACATACATACATACATACATACATACATACATACATACATACATACATACATACATACATACATACATACATACATTACATACATACATACATACATACATACATACATACATTACATTACATTACATTACATTACATTACATTACATTACATTACATTACATTACATTACATTACATTACATTACATTACATTACATTACATTACATTACATTACATTACATTACATACATACATACATACATACATAACATTACATTACATTACATTACATTACATTACATTACATTACATTACATTACATTACATACATACATACATACATACATACATACATACATACATACATACATACATTACATACATTACATAATACATACATACATACATACATACATACATACATACATACATTACATATATACATACATACATACATACATACATACATACATACATACATACATACATACATACATACATACATACATACATACATACATACATACTGCAGATCTTGGCATTCTCGAGCATGATTTTGTCATTGCAGCCATAGGCATTAGGCTTTGGTAAGTGAGCCATTTTTGCTTGAGGTTGCATGAGTGGACATGTCTTGCGAGTTGACATGTCCACCTTGAGGAAGTTGGAGTGGCGTGCCTATTTTGGCTCAAGCCACATGCGCACGGTGAATGAGTGCGCTGCCTGTGAAAACAACGAGCCGCTTCGCGGGTGTGCCAGAGAGTCGGGACACGGGTGAGACGTGGATTCTGGGTTAGTCCTTGGTTAGGATTAACGCCTCTCACAGTTGGGGGCTGTTCTGGGAAACTGAACTCCCTGACCCTTGTAAGCACACCGCGGTAAAAGGCTTGTGTGGGCAGCCTCTACTGAAGGATGAGCCAGGAAGTTTCAGGCGAAGAACTTGGTGTCACTCTGCTTGACTGCATCAGAGATGGAAGGGTACCAAGGCCTGAGGAAATGAGCTTCCCGGCTTGGCAGCGCTGGAGGAAGCGTGAAGGTCGTCGACCGACCCGCCGGCAGGATGGCCGCGGAATGTCTACGGTCGAAGAAGTAGCTCTTTGGAGAGCCGTGACGGCGGAGCTATATGGGGAAGACCGAATTGAGGACCTTGAAGAAGAAGAAGAACAAGATGAAGAAGAAGAGCCGGAAGCCAGACCAAGGCTGAGGCCGATCCCAGCTCTTATGGGGCCAGCAGAGCCTGACGATGGGACTCGGCCGTCGCCGCGACCAGTGGGGTTTGCGGGCGAGGCCCCGGGTGAGCAAGCCCGGCCGGCTATCAGAGATGAAGGTGGAAGAGGGGAGGAGAAGGGCAGAGCTAGCCCGGCTCCCTCTTCGGGATACACCGGTGTCTCCATGTCGGAGATGCAAAGGAAGCTGTTCGCACTTCATGATCCGAGGTATGAGAGCCTCGCGGCCTATCGGGCGCGGGCCGAACGGATCTCCCATGCGTTAGAAGTGCTGGGACAAGAAGTGGGACCGGCTGACCTGCGGTCAGTCATCATGAAGGCAGAGTTGATACAAGAAGGATACGAAGCTCTGGGTGACTTTGACCCTAGGACCATGGTTGGTCACTTGAGGGAACAGTTCATCATGCTGGCCAACGATGACACGAAGGAGCCAGAAGAGAAAGGACTCACGACGGTCGCGATCGCGGAGTTGATCCAGGACTTGGGAGGCCGAGTGAGTACGGCTCCTGACAAAGTGTTCTCTACTCCATCCGACGAGCTCCATGATGACCGGAATAGAGGTTCGAAGCGGAGCCGTGAACCCACCGATGGAGACGAAGGCGTTGTAGCCTTGAGATCCAAGATGGTGGCAATGCAGATGGAGCTGGAGTCCCTGAAGAAGGACAAGGACAAGGACAGGGCGGCCTCAGAGGCGTCCTCTCCTGAGAAAGAGCTCGCGAACGCGCTGGAGCATCAAACAGCGGCCTTGATGAAGGCGCTGGAGGGCCGTAATCAATCGCAAGTTATGTCGGTAAAAACAGACTTGCAATGGCCCACGCTTGGGGACGAAAGGAGCGACTCTAAGGACGTGT